GTCGTTTTTGCATAAGTTGCAGGACTTTTGGTAAGAGTCTTGCACTGACTTGCGTCATATCCATAATGTATGACAGTCTTCCGAGCGACGCTGACAGAGTAAACTCATACATGTTTTTAATAAACGGATTTGAAATCTTTAAAACATAACTGAATGAAAATTAAATAATATACAAGAAGTTGTAAACGACTTAACACTTCTAGTATATGTATTTAAAATAACAACAAATATTTCCTCAACCACAAAAATATAATCAACACAAAAATATTAACTTGACTAAGACAAGAACTGGTTGTATATAATTAGAAGTAGATGTATGTATGTATGTGTAGGTGTGTGTATATAGATTATATTTAGCTTTGGCGTTACCAAAAATGTCAATAAATTTTATTTTAGTAACTTTTGTTAAGTTATTTTACTCCCCTTTAGTTTATAATATTTGTGTAATTGGGAGTTACATAGATTATACTATAAATGCTAGAAACACGAAAAATTAGGCATAACATTACACGCATACATATTTACATAATTAACCACTTACCCATTATCAATACATACACATAACTATGTGTAAATCCCGATTTGTACAAATGTTAGCACCGATCACTTAGGTCTAATGGACAATACATTCATACAATTCCTAAAAACACACAATCACACCAACGTTATTAACTAAAATCCAACAACCTAACCAATCAACAACAACAAACCATCCATATAACAACAATAAGCAAACGTTCGCACCACACATACCTAGGTATGCTTGTGTAGGTGTGTGTATGTATATACTATGTATATGTGCGCTTTGTACTAAAAATTAGCCAAACGGCTGTGAATGAAGCAAAAAATTGATATATTAGCCAAAAACAGTACCGTTGTCGCCAACAACATACACATACTCACACATACATACATATCGAATATTTGCTTGTTCCGTCGCATTCTAATATGGTGTACTTTCAAAATTTACCGCAAACATTGGTGTGTGCAACGCCTAACAACAACAACAATAAAACCATTCATCAATTATCGAAATGCTACTAAATTGTACAACAACAACACACCTTATTACTAACTACTGTAAACTATTGCTGCCGGCGTAATGGCAAATGTGTGTCTGTCTATCGATCAAAATTTGTCGTGGCAAATGCGTTCTTGTGCAGTTGTATGTATATATATACCATAGTTATAAATGTGAGCTGCCACACACCAGGAGTAAATAAGCTAAAATGCAGCAGTGATTATTAGTAGTTATTACATTATCTCCTTCTTAGCCCTTAACCAAAGTCCAAACTAAACTCAACTACAATAATTTAAAAACTAAACTAAACTAAATTGAAGCTTTATTCGTACTTATATTTGTTTTTGTTTATTCGTAGTTTTATATGCATATCTTTATAGCGAAAGCTAGTCATCTCTCGCCATCATTTAGTTTGTTATGGTTTCATTGTTTTTGTAATTATTATTTAACATAGTTCACACTTTTGTATGTATGTATGTAAATTTCCGTAGTTTTGGTTATTTAAATTGTACTTACACTAGTTGGCTACACAATACTAATACTTAGTAAGACAGTTACGTGCGTTTATTTTACAAATTCTATTTATTTTATAAATTTGCAAACAATTTTTTCCAAACACACACAACTGGAGTTTAAATACTGATCCCGATTAATATTTAAATAATATTTAAATTTAAGTGCGATGTCCTAGTGTGTCTCACCTAGAAAATGCGTCTTTTGGAAATTAAAAAATACTGTATCAATTATTTTAAAATTTAAAGTGTATATATATATATTTTTTAAGAATACACAGTAATTTTTTTGTTTGCAGCTGCAAGTAGCTATGCATTCAAATTTTCCAAAAATCGACTTTATTCCATTTGAAATTTATTGAAGAGAATTAAAACTGAGATTATTATTTATTACTTGGAAAATTTTTGCAAATACCACTATTTAAATCGATCGGATCTCATAAAAAAAATTTTAATTTTGAATCTGTTTTGTTTGTAACAGCATTTTTTTGACAAAACCGGAACCATAACTCGCTTATACTTTATTGAGTGACTCGAAATTTGGAGAGTAATTTATTGTGAAAATAGATAGACGTAAAATTTTTGTATCTTATAATGTTTAAAAAATATTTTCGTGCATATTTTTAGTTAAAAGAGCAATCATTATTTATTAGCCCAATATTGAAAGCGATTTTTTTCATATATATTAAAACAAATTAAAAACAAAAAATTACAAAAAAAAATTTTTCAAAGCTTATATTAGTTTAAAAATTTTTCGAATCTCAAAAAAAAATATATATATAAACATTAAATTATGTTCATATAGTTGCACGTGTAACGTGTATTTTGGGTTATAGTCGTACCGACCAAGTGCAGCTACATATATAAAGGGTGTCCTAAAATTAACGCATGTGCACGGCTGCAGTTGTTGTGTTAATTAAATTTTGTTAGCAGTCGCCAAGTTTTCATTATTTTTGAAGTATTTTACGAGAATGAAGACACGTTGTTCTATCGTCTAACGGTAAATTTTTAGTAAGCCTAAACTGTCAGCTGTCGATTTGGTTTTTTTTTTTTGTTTTAGGGCTTGTCAACACTACTAGATAAATGGTGCAAAATTTAAATCTTTCGTTAATTTGGGACACCCCTTATATATAGTAATTTGTACTCAAAACAAAAAAAACTGCATAGCTGCACTGAAGCTATAATTCTCTTCAAACGTGCATTTAATATATTGTAGAAAACAAAACTATTATACTCTGTAGCAACATGTTGTAAGATTATAAAAAACGTGTAAAAAGATTGTTGTTTACATTTTGAGCAGCAATATATGCTATAGTAATTCGATTAAGCAATTTTTTCTTAGATTGTAGCACCACCTTGGATAAAAGTCTATGGTGAATTTCATGAAAATGTTTTGTCAATTAAAAAAATACCGCAAAAACTGAGGGACTGTGTCTTACAAACAGCTTGTGGCAAGCCTAATATATCCTGTTCGAGTATAAAAGTGAACGTAACTCGTATGATTCAACACGTCGTTCTTGTCATTTTGGTGTAATAATTTTCAGTAAACGATTAGCAGTACTTATGAAATCTATTATGCGGATTAGCTGAATAACACATTTTGTCATAAAATGGATGTGGGCCAAATAATTTGATGTGCATATGCACTCTACCGATGTTATAAATTTATTGTTAGAGCCGGATGAAGAACGTATAAGATATGTTTATATGAACGTTTTTAGATAAAAATTGCAATTATACAATATACAACTAAGTGGCTCGAAAATGGATCAATTCAGCAAAATTTTCACCAGTTTCGAATTGCTTTGGAAAACCAGCAAAATGTGCAGCTCATTATATATATATATTTTGTGTTTTCTTATTTATTAATTTATTTTTTAAACAACTTACAATATTACAAAAGAAACATATTGGAATACGGTTGTGTAAACACAACTAAACACAAGTTTGTGAATAACCCTAAACCCGAAAAAATGTCTATTTGATTGACTCTACTATTATCCATTCGATACTACTGTCATTTAACACATAAAGCGATCACTAGAGAACAATCGTTTCTATGAATTAGGTATACTGGATCGGCTGTGGAATCAAAAACCGATTGTACTTAAAAAGTTTAACAAAGCTTTGTCGCTTTTTTTAGAAGAACATTAAAGCATGACAACAATTAACTTCCGGCTAATTTGAAATAATATATTTATAATACTAAGAATTCGTTTCGCCTCTAATCGGAGATCACGTCTTGTGACTATTATAGTCATTTGGTTGTCGTGTCTAAAAAATCCTCACATCACTTCACGAAAACGCCACGGTCAGTTGCAGCGGCGCTTTTGATTTTTCATATAATCATGTGAGATGATCTCTACCCTCTACGCCTATAATGCGACTAGTCAGTCTTTTATAATCATATAAGAAAACAGTTATAATATTTAGTTACAGTTAATAAGTATAGAAAGGTACTAGGTAGATTATTATATTATATTTATTACTACTCAAAAAGTGTGACTACTAATGTTCACATATCCCTTTTATACTGCTTGAAGCTTTTAATCCGGAAATATTTAGGCGCCTATGCAAAAGTGACATATTTATTCGTGATTGCGATAAGACAGGTGCAAGAGAAGGCTGTAGATAATATCGTCTGAAGAAAAACTGCTATGAACTCATTTTCGAAAAGTATAATATTATGCCATGGTTGCTTTTTCGGAATCTAGGCTAACCATATTTGCCAGTTGACAGATTCTCCAACAATTTCAATTAAAAATGAATATTGCTGTTAGTTTGTAGGTTTTTAATAAAAAATTTTAATTTTTTGATATCTTATATATACATATGTATACACATATATATATATATAATACGATATATAATTATAATATAAATGTAAAAAAACCTCGATTGGATTTTATAGCAGGTTTCAGAAAGCGTAAAACTCGAAAAAAATTTGGTTGTTTTTGTAGACGTGATTTATATACTTACATCCTTAATATATACTTAATTTATTATTATGTTATATAAATAAAAAACAAAAACTGAAGCAAACTATACTTAAAATTGTTTTAATAAAATAAAACTTATATATATAAAAAAAAAAATAATGAAAAACATTTTATATGAATATAATATCTTTTGAAACAGTTCCATACCACATTTTAAAAACATAACAAATTATGATTTGAAAAATTTCCGTTATGTTGTATAAATTCTATACTATGCAATATTTTTTTGGTTTTTATTGTATTTGTTTTGTTATACATATTAGTAGCAGTTATGTTGTGTTGTATCAGTTGCTTTATATTTTTATATGTGTGTTTTTTAAGTTTCGCTTTTGTTTTATTTACGTCTTTGTGTTAGATATTTTTGTTAATTGTTTTTTTGTTAAACAAAAACTGTATTGTACTATATGAAATATCTGGAGTGTTTGTTTATAATTTGTTTTTTCTCTTTTTCAATTTCCCTTTTTGCAGTTCAACTGTAGCGCATCCTTCCGAATTGCCGCCATCGCCGCACCAATGGGAATGACGGCAAAATGAGGCCATAGCCGCCTAAAAGTAGATACTAATTAACTACAAATAATATAATAAAATACAACAACAACAAAAATAACAACAATACCACCCATCTTAACCAAATTCTTTTCATTTAAATTAAATTAATGTAAACAAAAGCAACAACAAAAGCAAACACAAAGTATGCAAACTGCAAAAATTAAGGATAGCAAATAAGGCTGAGGCAGCAGCGGATGCAGATGGAACAACAAAAATACCGTAAGATTGATTAGAGCGAGGTATGCAGCAGAAGCAGCAAGAGCAACAGAGAACCAGAGAGTGACAGCGACAAATATAATTATAATTAAAATAAAATCATGTTAATAGACTCGTAATATTTAAGGATAAAGCAACGATTTTAATTTTTAAGTTGAATGTGAGCCAGCAAGCGAAGCGTGCGCAAGTTGTGAAATGCAACTAAGAAGGATGCCACACTTTTTGGCAAGTGCTGCAAAGCTGAAAATTACAAGCGAGGCGTGGAGGGGAGGAAAAAACGGAATTGGAAATATAAATGTAAATTAAATGGAATGTCTAAGAGGCAGCATGATAAATTAGAAGAAGAACAAGAATAAAAGAGAAGAAAAACACACTAATCATTCCATCACCACCGAATAAACACAAAATAAAGGAGACGAAGTTCAACGAGTAACGGGACAAGACGAGTGAACGGAACATTTAGAGCAACACTAGTCGTCAGAGAAGGTAGCAGGAATAATAAAGAAACTATATAAAATGTAACAACAACATTTGAAGCAAACGACCGAGCAGTACGTAAAGCTCCGCCAAAGTTAGTGGAAGCACGAAGGAGTCGCTAGCAGTTAAAAGGCTGTATAACATGAAAATGCAGTTAAACCGATAGACGCCGACAAATATTGCAGCGTCGAAGAAAAGCGTAGACAAACTTGAGGCAGATGTAGGCAAAACTTGCGATCTGCGAGAGCCAAGCACGAAGCAAAACGACTACAAGACGATAAAGAATATAAAAATCGAATTGCAAAATTCAAAGCTGATAAGATTAAAAAGTGTTAAATTGTAAAAATTAAATGTGTGTGTAAAACAAGCAAAAGGAAGAGGCAAAGAGAAAAGAAGACAGTGTAAAATAAAATATATATACAAACATATGTAAAATGTAACAAAAGAACAAAACAAAAAAACTTCTTAAAACATCTTAACAAAAAGTATTCACAACAAAACGCATATACATACATAACTAGAAGTGGTCGCTGGAACCAAAGGACCAATTAATAATCAAATAATAAAATAATAAATGGTGTAAGCAACAATAACAAATATGCGTATATACATAGCAGCATGTATAGCAAGAGTGACGAAGCAACAAGAAAGTAAGAAGCAAAAAAAATTATATATAAAACAAAATTCAAAAGAAATTAATGAAACAAAGCAAAGCAAGAAATATTTCTCAATGTCCGTAACGAAAAGTAGTGTATGTATGTATTATTATGTACCAGCAATTATTATTATATAAACTATTACATATTTAACAATGTAACGACTACAATTACACTTACGACTATGCATATTAAATAGTAGTTATAATTAATGAACGTAATTAATTAATTAATTAATGTAATTTGTTTGCCAAATTTACCTCAAAACAAAAAAGTAAAACACTTTTTTTTAAATACTATAAATAAAATAAATAAAAAAGTAAATAATGTAAAGCATAAACACAAACACACGCATACAAATACATATATATATATAGGTATATTTGTGTATGTAGTGTGTCGCACACACACACACACACACAAGCATGCATTTTCAGTAATTTACGTCGGAATTTAAGACACGCCAAGGCGATACATGCGGCTTAAGACATAATTGCAATAGAGTTTGAACAGAAGAGAGTTTAGCATCGCTTATAGATATTGTATGTGTGTAATGTATTTTTGTCGAAACATTCGATTATTTTGCGCTATGATGAAGTGATTTGCTTGTTAGCGGTGTAGTACGTCGGTTTAAAGTCAAAGAAACAGCGTAAAATATAAATACAAAATTATAAAAGTGTGTGTATGTTAATTTGTAGCAGAAGTAAATAAACAAAAAATGGTGCAAAAGTTGAGCGCAAATATAATACTTTGGTTTCAGATTAAAACAAATTAAATTATTGCAAAAGCTTTATGTTAAATGCTTTATTTATTAAAACTAAAAAATAAATTTTACATGTTAAAAAATAAAAACAAAAATTAACAGCCATTATTGACAAAGTAAAGATACTTTGCAAATTCTCAAAAATAATTTTTTGGTGATCAATAATAAATTTATAATATTATATTGATAAACCAAACAATATAAAAAAATTAAAAATAAAAGCAAACCCCTAATTTAACAGGCATTATTGACCACCTAACGTTTGTTTGCGAATTATCAAAAACTACATTTTGGTAAACAATATTAAAATAATTTTTTTTTTCTTTAAAAATTTTGTCACTCATTTTACTTACTATAAATATGTTTACTAAAGATATTAACGAATAATTTGCTTATCTATATTTTTGTAAATGGAAATTATACATAAGTTCAATATATTCTTATAAAATTGCATAAACTAAAACATTTCTTGTTGTTTAGTGCTGAAATATAACTTTTAAATTTAATATTTTGTATTTTCCACTTTTTTCAATGCAAAGTTATTTTTCACTGTTTCGTTCAAAGTTGTAAACAAAAAAATGTTATGCAAAAAATAAAAAGATAAATTGTATGTAATTTTAGCTTTAAATTTTTATTTTATCTTTTCATTATTAATCGTTACACAACTATATAATAAATAGTGCAATTGGCTTGTTAAAAATATATTTAAAAATTTAATTAAATACGTCGGCTACTACTTTTTAGAAAATATTATCACTTGCAAAATTTTTCGCCAATAGTTGTAAATTTTTAATAATTAACAGCAATATAATAAGCAGCGCCTGGTGCTGGTTAAAAAATTTAGTTAAAAAAATTAAGACACTTAAGCCTTTGCGGCTGCGAGTTTTTTTTTTTTAATACAATTGTAAAATATTGCAAAAAATTTAGCGATTGCACAATTTTTATTGCTACAGAGCACACTTATTTTTGCCATTCTTTTTAATACTGATAAAAATGTTTAATAATTTCCATGTACATTAACAGCAATGGTCTTATATAAAAATTCACAACAATTTTTTTTTTAATTATAAAATTTCTTTAAGAAAGTTTTTAAATAAATTTAAATGTTAGAAACTTATTAAAAAATAGAATTAATTTTTAAATAAAACTAATCAACATTAATTTTTATACACCGGAAAAAAAATATTAATATAAAACCAAATTTTTCGTTTTAATTATAAAATGGAAAGTCCAGAAAATATAAAATTTCATTGTTTCTAATTTTTTTTAATAAAACTAATGAACATAAATTTTCATACACCCAAAAAAAATGTGTAATATAACATATAATTTTTTCGCAAATTTTTTAATAATTCCTAAAATATTCAATTCGACAAAAACACCGCCAACAATTTTTTTTTTTTTATTTATTTCACATAGATTAGCTGCAAACCTTTAACATTTTCCAGTTGTAAAATATGCTGCCGAAAATTGCTTACACACTCCGTTTTGTGCGCACCAATATTTTTTTTATTTATTCAAAATTAGAATTGTAAAATTGTATAACACACACATGCATACATACATATATACAAACATGACCATGTACAAGTTTATATACAATTGTAGGTTATGTGCACGTATGTATCCGCTTTAAGTGTGTTTTATATGCAAATGACTCAAAGCAAGCAAAAATTAAATAGTAAAATAGCATAAGTTGAAAATGCAAAATTTGTGAAAATGTGCAAAATACAAAATGACATGCTTAGATGTAACAAAGGTGCACTGAATACACAAAAATTTATCAGAAATTTGTAATTTTCGCTTTGTATTTGTAGTGTTTTTTAGCGGAAGACAGACACACACACGCACTTGCGCACCAAATGTTTTATGGAAAATTGTAAAGTTTCAATGTGTGCTTACTACAAGACTATAGCTACAACAAAAACAAATACATGACGTGTTAATAGCTATGCCGTTAGTAAAATTAAAATTTATTCAAGGCGCCTGCGCAGAAGCAACGCAGTTATGTCATCATTTTTTTTTTAATATTTAATTTAAAATTAGCATAAGTTTTTGCTACACTACTTACTAAATGTGCGTATTTAATTGTAGTGGCATATGTATATACATATATAGTTACATATATACATACATATATATATTTTTGTATGAATTACTTAATGACTTTATAAAATAAGAAAACAAAAAAAAAATCATTAATTAATGTAATAATTAATTGATTACAATTTGAGCCTGTGGACTGATTTCAAATAATAATAAATTTTAATTTTACGAATCTTTTTGTTTACTGTTACAATTTACTTGTAGCTCTTGTGGTTTATGCAATTTTTTGTTATTATATTATTATTATTTTTTTGTTTTTTTTTGTATTTTGTTTTATTAATTTGCTTACATACTTGACCTAGTTTTAAATTATTTAGACATTATTGCTAAAACAACAACAAAAAATGTATGTTGCATTATCTCAAATCTTGCATAGACTTAAAACTCTACTACAAAAAACAAAATATAAAAAAAACAAAAATAAAAGTAAAAAAGAAAATGTATTTGTAAGCAAGAATTCTTTCAAACACTACCAATTTTCATATTTACTATTATATATAATTGTATGTACACTTTACCATTTACCATTTACGATTTACCATGTACTATTGACTATTTGCTCTATTTGCTACTGCGCGAGCATATTCACTATCAGATACATATATTATGTATTATGTAATAACGGTTCTTACACAATGTTAGCATTGTATTTTCTCTTTAGTAAACAATTTGTCTGTCGTTTTTTTTTAAGCTTAGAAATGTATTGCGAAGTTTAATAATATTTAGAACGAAACAAAAGTAAACAAATGCAAAAAATTATGAAATGATTTTAAGCTGAAAAAAGTATTTTTCGTAAGCATCACTATTATTGAAAACACAAAATTTCTTAATAAAAAAATTCATGCAAATTTTTTACATATACGCAAAGGAAACTCTTGTATTTTTGCTTTTGACTTGCGACTTTAGCACTTGCTTCGTCGTCTGGGGAGTGCGAGTGTGACTGAAATTTTTTTTTTCAATATTTTTTCACACAAACATAAAAAAGCTACACTGAAAAAATTATTTACTATATTTATTAATACAAATTGTATGCACACTTGACACAAGGTAAGCTAAATTTGTGAAAAAAATTATGTAATTGCAAAAAATTAATGCCACTAAAATTCTTGTTGTAAACATTTGTTTTTCATTATTTTTTTATAAATTTCGGTTTTAAATTAATTTCTGTATTTTTATAAATTAAAAATAAAATTTTAATAGGTTTTGTTTTATACATTGTTGATCTTTATAAATTTTTGTTTTTACTTATTATTTTTTTTTGTAAAATTTATAAATTAAAAAAAGAATAATTTTTAGAAATTTTTTTTTTACACAATTTTTGTTTTTATATATTTTTATTTATAAACTTTTGTTTTTTATTATTTCTTGTTTTATACAATACATTGTTGTTCTTTATAAATTTTTGTTTTAACTTATTTTGTTTTTTTTTTATAATTTAAAAAAAATTTATAATTTTTGCTAACATGTTTTTATTCTATTTTTTATTTTTGTTTTTAATAGTTTTTTATTTAGTGTTGTTTATGTAATTATTTTTTTTTTTTGTATATTAAATTGAAATTTTTTATAAAAGTTTTCAGTAAGGTTATAATTTTTTTTATCAAAGTTTTTTTTTAGTAATTTTTTATCATTTTTAGTTAGAAAATAGTTTTTCTAATACATTTTTTTTACAATTCATTGCCTACAATTTCCATTTAATCAAAATGTGTACATTATAAAAAATATACATATATATCATTGTATTCACATTAAACAAGCTGATTCGCTTGAAATTTAATTATTTGCATTGTAAGTTTGTATGTAGATGAAAGTAAACAAAAAACAAAGCCATGGCATTGCATTGCGCTAGCATGGCAACCACACAAGGACACACTGCCCACACCCAGTTAAAATTGTTACGTTTGCCCTCAAGGCAGTCACGCAGCTCAACACACACATTCAGCACTCACACATACACACATATGCGCTCATTTGCGCTGCCAAAAGCACCAACAACAACGCTAAAAACTAGCGAAAAGTGTATGTTAAGCTGGTGGGGGCAGTGGAGCGCGTTAGATTGCTTTATGCAGCGTACAATTTTTAGCTTTAACTCATTATTATTTACTTTATAGACATATAGTTTATAGTTATATGACATGTAATTAAATTTGTATGTAATTTTGTAGTTTTTAAACTCTTCATAATTGCACCACAAACACACACACGCATTTACATATACACACACTCAATATATATAGTTGCAACATTCTACATTTACTATAAATAATTTAATAACCCCGATTATTCATTTTCACACCTAGAAATGTTATTGTAAGTTAAGTTGTCATTACCCACATAGCCAATTGTATGTATGTATTTAAATATGTTTAAAGAAAAAAACTAAATAAATAATTAATAATTTACTAGCTACTTAAATTAAGACTGAACTCACATGGAAACGAAATGCTTCACAGAAAGCGTTAAAATGGATTGTATATTTAATTGAGCAAATTAATTATTTCTCTTTTTTTAAATTTAATAAATAACTAATAAGTATGTATAACCTTTTGCTATTTCTTCAAACATTTGCTTTGAAGATGCGTCGTTCATTCGCTAAGAAAGAATAAAAATAAAATTATTTGCTAATAAAATCGAAATTTTTCATTAAACTATTGATGAGGTTGTAGCGAAATTGCACAAATGTATGTGAACTACAGTCATGTGCAGGTACTGATATATATATTTTTTCAAATTCGAATTTGGAAGTAAAAAATTTTAGTTAAACCAAAACTATTAAAAAAAAAATGAGGTTAAGTGAAGTGAAGTTCTTGACAAAATTTTATAAATAAGTTTTTTCAGTTTAAATAATTTTTTTAACACTACGACAAGTTCAGAAAATTTTATAAAATTTTCAAAATGTAAACACATTAAACAAAACTGTAATCTAACAGCAAAAACCGCAACCCAAATTAAATTAGGATTGGTTTTTGAAACTTTCTATTTTGAAAATTTAGTTTTCTTTAGTTAAGATTTTTTTATCAATTTTAATATACAATTTTTTTACAGTTTAGAGCTCAGAACTTCAGTTTCTTTTATCACCATATTGGTCATAATAATACAATTTCTACTATATTGAATTTTGCATTGTATATATGTATAATGACTAAAATGGTATAGATATTTGAATATGTCCTTCAAATTTATACTAAAAAATCCAGCGAAACACAATATTTTCTAATGTTAAACATGCAAGCATAAACTCAGATCTGTTCTCGTTACATAAATCCCACGGTTTTGAGAATGCACTTTTTCCACTTGCGTTTCTTATATAATGTACATGACTGTAGTATTTTAAAACATTTCTAACTCAAACTGGCAGTTCGAAAAGTTTCCTCAAACATAAAAATTTTTGCACAAAATATTATAAAAGTTGATGCAATATTTGCAAGGAAATATATTATTTGAAATATAAGCAAATTCGTATTGAAATCAGTAAGAGATCTTGCAACATGATACTAAATATGATCGAAAACTTGTAGCCCAACATAAAGAAATCTTAAATTATTTAATAAAGCAATTGTCTTAAAGCCAGCGCAACATGTTGCAGAAAATATTTTGTTGTTGTTGTAGCGGCAGAATTCTGCCGAATTGACAGCCCTTGGCCGGCTAAAAATGCGGGTCCGTTCCGGTTACGTAGACCCGACTGTCGTGAGCACATTTGTTTGTTTTTATTCATACGTTGCTGAGCTCTTCTTTTAGCAACATGTTGCTATAAAAACATGTAAGAAGTATGCCAAAATACTAGCAACATTAAATATAAATTTAAAAAAAAATTTAGTTATTAGTTGGAAATATTGGAAACATATATAAATAAATGGCTGGATTGATCCCTTTGCATGCTCAACATGTTGCTGGAGTAATTACTAAATTATTTTCCCAACATCTACTATTATACAAATGTTGCTAGAAAAGCTGTAAACCCAGAAATATATATCTTGTGCAGTAAACTGCCGACAAGGAATTGTTAAAAATTGTTTTATATATTAAAGCGAGAATTCAGTCCCTTGAATGACTTGTTCAATATGTAATTGTACATGCTAACGTTTTGGGAAAAAGTCTCTTGGGATATTTACACATCGTATTTTTTAACTGTCTGGACTGCAACACTTCGAAGTGCAGTTGTCGAGCATACATTCGTGGTATGATAGAAGACTATCGCATATATAATTTGTTTTAGTAAAAAATTTTATGGAACTGCATCTGATTTATGCCTTGACACAAATTTGGCTACTTTGTCATACAACCGAAAATATTTTATGGTATGAAAACTTACAGAATTTATGAGTACAAAAATCGATTTTTTTTTTTAATTTCTTTCAATTGTTATTGTTTCAAACTTTCGTTTATTTCAAAAATAACCGACTTAATTTGCTTTCACACCCCAAAAAGTATAAAAATAGTTTTAAATAAGTTATTCAATAGTTCAGTTCAAACATCCGGTTAGTGATAAGCCAACTTAAGCTTAATTTGTATTTAGAAATATCCTAGTTTTAGCTTAAAAAAAATACAAAGGAAAAACAACAAAAATAAAAAAATATTCAACAATTTTTTGTGTATCAAACTTTCACAGCGATCTCATAGCAAGGTGGCTCTGTTTGAGAAATGGCATTAAAATGGAATGAAAAGCGCATAGTCAAAATATATAATTTATAATTGGTATTGCAATTTTAATTGATTATAATGGTATCTTATTTTTTATACTTTAATATTATTTTAATTATTTTGTTCTTGTACAATATTTAGTTTGTCATTCAGAAGGTTTCTAATTTAAAAAAAAATGAAACTCTTATCTGAGAAATTTAACTAAAATAACTTAAGTCGACTTAGTACTTTTATTTTGTAATTTTTTAAATCGATCTATTCTTATACAATTTTAAACCTATTAAATACTAAAATTTGTCTTTTCCTGAAAATTATTCAAAATATTTAATTTATCTAGAAAAGTTGAAATTTAGTGTACTAAACGTCAAACCTGCTAAAGTCAGTTAAGTGGTTTTACTAGAAGCTCTTAAATATTATATACATGAACATTTAAAATTTTTAAAATTTAATTGATTCAGTATCTTTTATTTACAATTGTAATGATTTCTTTTTTATTGTGCGTATTTGTTTTTCTCATTTCAGTTTGTCAA